TGAGCAGACCTGAGCAGACCTGAGCAGACCTGAGCAGACCTGAGAGACCTGAGGAGACCTGAGCAGACCTGAGGAGACCTGAGCAGACCTGAGCAGACCTGAGCAGACCTGAGCAGACCTGAGCAGACCTGAGCAGACCTGAGCAGACCTGAGCAGACCTGAGGAGACCTGAGCAGACCTGAGGAGACCTGAGCAGACCTGAGCAGACCTGAGCAGACCTGAGGAGACCTGAGCAGACCTGAGCAGAGACCTGAGCAGACCTGAGCAGACCTGAGCAGACCCTGAGGAGACAGCCCTGAGCAGACCTGAGCAGACCTGAGCAGACCTGAGGAGACCTGAGCAGACCTGAGCAGACCTGAGCAGAGCAAGGCGGGCTCTCACCATGGGCGCTCCTCTGTGCCCGATGAGCGCGGGAGGAGGCCCCAGGCTGGTCCTGTCTTTGATGCAGGGAGAGTAAAGCCCCAGAGGAACCAAGTAAAGAACCGACAGGAGCAGAAGGAAGGGGCCCCCGATCAGAGCCCGGCGCCCTGTCACCAAAACAAACACCATCAGACTGAAGAGCGACGCCGCCCACTGCCTTTTATCTTTGACAAAAAAGTGACACACTGTGGCTTTAAAGTGAAGATTTAAAAACAAGAGAGAAGTCCCGACCTGCTCCGGTCGTCTGAAAGGTGAGCGCCGCCACAGGCCACGCCAGAGCCGTCATCAGCAAGACTCCGCCCACATGCAGGTACGGCGCCGTCACCTGCGACACACACAGACATGTTTCATGAAACGCTCCGGGCCGACGCTCCGGGCCGACACCCCCAGGCCGACGCCCCCAGACCGACGCCCCCAGACCGACGCTCCGGGCCGACGCTCCGGGCCGACGCCCCCAGACCGACGCCCCCAGACCGACGCTCCGGGCCGTCGCTTCCGGGCCGACGCCCCCCAGACCGACGCCCCCAGACCGGGTCGACGCTCCGGGCCGACGCTCCGGGCCGACGACCCGCCGACCGACGCCCCCAGACCGACGCTCCGGGCCGACGCTCCGGGCCGACGCCCCCAGACCGACTCCCCCAGACCGACGCTCCGGGTCGACGCTCCGTGTGGGTGTTTTTTTTTCATGTGGGTGTTTTTTTTCATGTGGGTTTTTTTTTTCATGTGGGTGTTTTTTTTTCATGTGGGTGTTTTTTTTTCATTGTGGGTGTTTTTTTTTCATGTGGGTGTTTTTTTTCCCGTGTGGGTGATTTGGAGCTCGTCACTCCACAGTTCGTCTGATGAAACGTGTTGATGTTGGAGCAGGTTTCCCTCTGGACCCTCTGCTGTTTTTGTTCGACTTGTGTCCTGGAAACGAGCAGCAAGTTTCACACAAACACTGGACAAAAATGAAAATCTGTTCATCAAACGAAGCTTCTCACTGCCAAACTTCAACTCAACACGAGTCACACGAGTGTCTCTGTTTGACTGAGATTTGGTTTGGTTTGTTTTTTATTTGTGCACAAAAAAACTGGAGAGTTAAAATTTCAGGGTAAAATATTTCAGAGTTGTTTTTAACACAAAAAGTGTTTTATTTTTACTCTTTGAGAGTTAAATGTGTGTTGGAGTTGGGGTGATTTGTCAGAGTTGATTTGGTTGAAGTTAATTCAACTTCTCTTAGTGTTAATTTGTCTCCAACACTTCAAACTCCCTCCAGAGAAGAACCAGTTTGAACCAGTTTTGTTCAGAATTTCATCTTAAATTAACTCAAATAAAGTGTCAAAATAAAACTCCTCTGTGTGTTGTTGAGTTAAATCAGGATAACTCTACAAAGTGTTATCTGTTTACTCTCTAAACCTTCATTTAACTCTGGATTTGGGTTAAACAGGAACTTTGGTCCAGTTTTACTTCATGAACTTTTACACAAGTGTTAAATTAACTCTAGAACAGAGTGACTCAGATAAAAACTGAGGAAATGTTCAAACTGACTCTGTCAGAGTTAATTTTAACTCTCCACTTTCTGCTGTTTGTGCCTCAGCTCTTCACTGTGTTTATTTACACAGAATCGGGTTTTTGAGTTCAATCTCGACGCGTTTTTGTTTGTTACATTAAACTGTCGGTGATTTTTGCACTTTTAGTAATAAAGTTCTAAAATAAACTAAAGTGTGACGACCAAATCGACGAAGCTCAGAGCAGAAACTGTCCAGTCAGGGTCATTTGGTCTTTGGATATTTTATGTTCTCAGGTTCTTTTTTCAGACCAACAGTTTGTCTTTTTTTTCTTTCCTCTCACTCTCCTGGATCGTGTCAGGAGGAAGTGAAACTGCAGGTGGCGCCGTCGTCCGGACGAGACCAAGACACAGACAAAACCTGTTTACACCAACTGAGCCACACCACACTGGAAAACTCTGAGGAAGACTCTGAAGAAGACTCTGAGGGAGACTCTGAGGGAGACTCTGAGGAAGACTCTGAGGAAGACTCTGAGGGAGACTCTGAGGACTCTGAGGAGGAGAGACTCTGAGGAAGACTCTGAGGAAGACTCT